TTAAAGCAATATTATGAAATTTTTCTTTCATGTTAGTAAATAAACCATGTAATTGAATATTTAATGTTAATGCATCTAAAATATGTGGATCTCGTAAACTAAGTGTAAAATCAGGAAAACAGTTAAAATGTACTGGACCTCTATGCAGACCAGTTTCCATCATACCCATTAGACTATCATTGTAATCAAGAAATCGAGCATCTCGTAAACATAACAAAACAAAGGTATTTTTACCAACTATAGTTAATGGATTAACACCGACTTGAATTAGACCAATATGCATAAAATTGTAGCCATTATTTAATGTCTTTTAATTAATTTGGTATCAAATAATTGACAGGTTTCTCGGGGTTTTTCCAAAGCATAAACTTGTTCAATAGTTTTAACATGCAAAGTAATTTTGAAAACATTCTGTATGAAAGTAGTTTTATAAATTTTTTTGATTGGTAATTTTGGTATATTCCATCCTGCATCAATTTTATCATTTTATATTTCAACATCTTCTTCATTTATTACTAATCCTTGATTTGGTATTAAGGGCAAAGTTGTTGACCTAGAACTGACTGACGAGTTACTTCTAAATAATCGATTCATTGTTTTGTTTAATTAATCAGTTTTACAGATATTTTAATACATACCCTATTCTTGTCATGTTATCACAGACCAAAATGGTTTGAGTACAGACCCTATTCGAAAGAACCCCTATGTCCTACACTGCCTAACCCGAAGGACTTACTCTGGACAGGGAACGAAAGTGGGTGACTTAAACCAGGTGGATAAACACAGACCGATCTTTTGGGTGAGTAAGATGAACTGAAAACGAGATTAATTAAATAAACAACAGAAAGGATTAAGTGGAAATAACAAAGCAGTTAGAAACAAGATACAACAAAGCAATATAAAATTTTACTGTAAATTATAGGAAATTTTACTCTGATTCAAAGTAAAATTTTACTCTGAAATTTTATTCTAGTTACAAACATGTTGATTTACTTAGCAATATAAAATTTTACTTTGAATCATAATAAACTTTACTCTGAAATACACTGTGAGGATGGCTTAATAGCTGATAAATATGAGGGTAATTTAGTAAAATAAACAAGTTTTAAAATATTACGGGGTTTTGAAAGGGAAATTCTATTTCCACCCACCTAATAAACTTAAGGCAAATCTTTTCTCACTACACATCCCTATTAATTTGATTATGAACTAATTTTCTCAATCCACACTCTTAAAATTACAATTAGATCCATGTTTCATAAATGGTACACACACTTTATCTTAAAATGCACACACTTTAATTGACCTTAATTGAAATTTATAGTCCACCCACTTTTCTGAAGACATTGACTTCATTGAAAGAGAGGGGAAAAAAAAAAGTTTTGAACTTTCTTCACCTCCATTGAAGAACTTGAAGACATCCATTGAATTTCCACTCAAAACTATTGAATCTTTTGTGTAAGGTAAGAAATCTTTCCATTTTCATATTACATTTACCATTTTCGGATATATCTGCATTCCATTGGCATATAAAACATCGATTTTTCCATGGCTGGACGGGTTGGAGCTTTCGGGACTGGGTTTCCGAATTTTATTATTTAATTCGGAACTTAATAGCCGGGTATTGGGTACATTTTTGACTTATTAAAACCGAAAAAAATACAAAATTTCGAAGTTATTCTGTTGAATTTGGTATATTTGTTTGGTCCAATAGTTCTGAATTAATTGTTTAATTTCGACAATTGGTTTCTAAAATTTTTTTGTTTATTCGGCACTGAACTTTTGAATGGTTTTTTTTTTTTACACCAAGTTACATAAGTTACATAGGCTACCAAGATTGGTTTTGCTGTAGGTTTTTCCAACAATTTTATTTTATGGGTATGTTTATGTATTTATTTATTTATTTATTTTTTGCGAAATTCAAAGCATAACAATAGAAACAAAAATCTGTGCAGTATTAGTATTTTCACATTATATTGTTAGCTTAAGTAGTTAAACATAGGTCTTCAAAAATGCTGTTAGCTAAATAGCTGAACAAAACAATTGCATTACATAGAACATTAGCGGTTTGTCCTTTCAAAACATTGAAATTGGGTTCAAATTTGGTGTTTGGTTCTATACTTATAGCTATAACAAATTTACAATCAAATAGAATGTACAAAGACAAGTGATGGGCAATCCTTTGATTGTTTGAAAAATGATGTTGGTATTGATTAATGACCCTGCTGCCTTGGCAAATTGGCCGAAGTGAAGTTAATATGTTTTTGGCATGTTGTGAACATTACCAAACTAATTGATGAATGGTCTGTACAGAATACAAATAGTTTTGCTATATCGATGTTTACATTGTAATTTTTCAACAAATCTTAGTCTCACCCTTTCATCAGTAGTAGGGTTATGTCCTTAGCTTATTTTGTTAATTTCACATCATCCAAATTGTCAATTTAATGGTCTATAACTGCATATTAGATTTCATTAAGATGGCATGGTTAGGCTACTTATTAGTCGCATTGATGTGATCCTTTTTCTGGGAGTGTTTATACTGTTTCGTTATATTGGGTTGATGAGAAAAATTTTCCTTATACAGATGGATGGCGGTCCCAATTAACGTCAGTCAGTAACAGCTTCGAACAGAAGACTCCGTGAATTAGAGAGACGTAGACGTGGATGTGGACGTGCACGTAGACGTGCTCGAGTGCATGATGATGACACGCACATTGCCATGGATGATGATCTTATACATGATGCACCAGTTGTGGATGATATTGCTATGGATGATGATCCTACTGGTGATGATGCTGACATTGTTGATGAAGATATCCTTACTTAGCCATTTTCGAGAGGGCCAACTGATCCATCAATCCTTAAAAGTTTTAAGAGTCATGTTGCTGCAGCTATTTGGAATGGTGCTGATGAAAGGGGGCCCTTGAAGTGTCATAATCAATCATCTACGATTCATTCGTGGCTATGGTGGGAACAAGGAAACAACGCTACATTTGTAAACATTGTGGAGATGTCAGGACTTGTACAATTAGCTCGTTGCACGTACCGCTTTGTTAACAAAATTGTAGTGTCTAGTTTTGTTAAGAGATGGCAACCGGAGACAAACACCTTCCATTTGACTGTTGGAGAGATGACTATCACATTGAACGATGTCGCCACTATCCTAGGGCTTTCCATTATAGGCAAATCTATTAGTGTGCGTAAGTTGTCAGAAACGCGGGCCATTGCACTAGTAGTTAATACCTTGGAAATTGATGAGCAAGAGGTTTGACATGAGATGTCTAGTGCTAGAGGCAATTCAGTGAGGCTTGAGTGGTTGAGGGCAAACTTTCATAATGTCACAGACAATGATTCAATGGAAAGAATTGCATGTGCAGGTAGAGCATACTTGCTATTTTTCTTGGGTTGTACACTTTTCAGTGACAAGACTGGTACTAGTGTCCCTGTTGTTTTATTTGAGTTGTTGTCCGATTTGACGACTGTATCTTCATATGCTTGGGGTGCTGCTACATTGGCATACTTGTATAGACAGATGGGGTACACTAGCAGGTCCGACGTGAAACCAATAGCCGGTTACATGACACTTCTTGAGGGATGGATTTATGAGTACTTTCGTGGATTCCGATCACACTTGAATATGAATTACACTCGAGACATGCCACATGTTTACCGTTGGACTTCTCGGAGAGAGTCTGGTGAAGAGACACAGTTGCAGGCTTTTCGAGAGGAGCTGGATAGGTTGGGTGTACATGATGTACGTTAGAAAGTCCTTCAAAATTTGAAACTCTATATCATACAAAATTTACAGTTGTCATATCTTACAGTTGTTATTGTTTGTAGGTTACTTGGGACCCGTACTAGAGTTGCAGAGATGTCCATCTGTGTCACCCAGTTACGTTCTACCACGGTTGCCTAAAGTGTTTGGAAGTAATTGAACCATATCACCCTGATAGAGTTTTGAGACAGTTTGGCAGAGTGCAAACAATCCCTAATCCACCACTTGGCCTTATGCGTGCCTCTTGAGGAGCCACAGCTCCACGCTACAATGTTATGTATGCATACTTCGACATCATTTGGGAGGCATGGGACAACCATGTGTTATTTGATCGGAGGAGGAGTACACCGGTACGACAGCCTTGGGATTGTGTTCCTGGTTACATGGATTGGTACCAAACCATTACCCATATGTATGTTCAAAACCCGGCGCGTTGTTCTCAGGTGGACCCAAATATTCATCATTATCAGTATCCTAGCCAAGATGCACAGGTACTTTTTTTTTTTAGGAGCACAATTACAAATTATTTATGTGAACTATTATAGGTTTGTGTATAATGTTGTATTTGTTCTCGTAATGTAGCGTATGTCACAGATATATCAGATTACTTATCCTTTTGTTAAGACTGGCTATGAGGACAATGTTCAACATCCTGATAGACTTTACTACACAATTGATGCGATTAAACAGCTTCTTCAAGATCATCACATTAGTGAAGCTGTGCCCAACACATCCGTTCAGGGTCGGTCTGCACCCAGCTCTTCTACTACACATCGTTTTGGAGCACATTACACTCGCCGGTCACATAGTTTATAGTAGTTCATAATTTTAGCATAGGTAGTTTCTGATGGTGTTAGTGGATGTATAAGAAGACAAATATTATTATCATCTTTGGATTATGTATAACGAGACATGTATTTTGTGATGATGTGGATGGATTGAACTACTAGCTAATATTACTAGTTCTTCTTACATACTTGTTATTTAATATGAAAAATCTTTAACAGTAGTTGCACTTGGTTAATATTGTTTTCATTACGTTTTGTGTTCAGACAATGTAAAAATAATATGACATCTATTCCATAAATAAGAGAACTATAACTCATATGATATTGTATTTAAAAAAAATGACCATTACATCAATCTATATGAACTAGTAAATAATAAAAACTAATGACTGCTCTCTAATCTCTTAAACCTCTCATGACTGCTCTTTAAAACATCAATCTATGTCAACTACATCAAATGTCTCTCGAGTAGCTACATTAGGTCCTCTGCTGTCTTTGAATTTTTGAATGCGGCTAACATATGCATTCTCCCATTCTGATGCACAAGTGTGATGGTGAACTCGCCAAAGCACAGCAATGGGAGGAACTGGATGACCGGCCTTCAAAAATACCTGCACGTACATCCAAAAATTTTACACATCTTTACCAAATGCATCAAATTTGCAATTACAAAAATATTAAACAACAATGTACCGTTATTTTCATAACTTATACCTGCACAAAATGATTTCCATTGACAAATCCAATGGTAATCTCACGACGATCAGTTAGGGTTACTGGCGGTGATCTCAAAGGTAAGAAAGTCAGACATTGTTGCAATGACAAGTGGTACAAAACTACATTATAAAATGATGCAATAAGATGTCCCATGTCAGGCATAGTCATCCAACGATCAAAGCCTGCGCTATCTTCAAAATATGAAAGGATGTATGTCAGCTCCTCAACCCTCTCATGCAATCTATATAGTACGACGTATTCATCTCTGTAGTTATTCAATTCAAGTAACAGATCACGCCTAACTTGCACCCAGTCATTCTCTCCAAGACCAAGTAAACCCGCAATAGCTTTAAAACCACAATTCCCATCACCATCTACATCCTTCATCAACTTTATGAATGGTATTAACATAGGTGGGAAGTCACCAGCATATGCACTCGGTAAACTTGTTCTTGTACAATATGTCTTTGTCTTCACATTCCGCTTCTTATCAAGCACTTTCGAAGCTTTCTTTTTCTTTGACTGACTGGAAGCTAATGTGCTCTGGCTATCATGGCCATTGTCAACCAACTCAAATGCACACGGGTCACGACGACAAGATATATTAGTTTTCTTATGTCCTCGACGTGGATTAGGTTTCACATCAGGCTCAATAAGAAAAGTGCTCGCTGGATTTGCAATTTCCTTCAACTTCTTCAACATATCTAATTTTATGGCAATATCAGACTCATTGAACCGCTTCAAAATCATCTCAAGTTCTGGGATACAAGTCAATTCCAATTTCTCAACCTTCAGATTATGCACACATATAGTAAGTCGCGTCCAATGTACATGTATGCTACTGAGTGGAATAGGACGGCCTTGTCTCATGTAATCTGCAATCTTGTGAGCACAAGGTAAACCATGTGTGTGCCTAAGAACACACCCACATGCTGCAACATCAATTCTAACTAAATTTGCTCTCTTACTCTCTGCCAACGCGTACTCTAATGCACAAATAGACACATTACCCCGAAGCTCTCCGAATTGAGAAGGTTTGAATTGATGTTGCATAGTTGTCAAACTCTTCTCGAATGATGCTTTAACTTGAATGTGCTGCAACTCAAGTAGACAATGTATTTTTTTAAATGAAATCTCAAATGTCGTTTGACTTGAACCTAATTGCCTCTTCAATCTAGCATGAGCACTCTCAACCCTGTTCATATGGATGTAAACAAAAATAGTCAAGCATAATAATTAAAAATAACAATATGATTTATAAGAAATAAAATAAAAAAAACAAATATTACCAATTGGTTGTAACATTGCCAAAATACATACACATATTTGTATGTACCGCAATGAATTTTTCTTGATACGGATTCAACCAACTCACTGTAACATACTTGATTGCCTCCGAATAGTTATTGAAATCCTTATGCAGCGTTGCGAGGTGATCATTGTATTCCTCTTCAGTCGATGACAATACCACATAGTTCCATGCAGTGTTAAACATGTCCTATTTTTCTTTTGTCTCAAACATTTTCTTGCATTTCGTCAATACATTCTTATTAATATGCCAACGACATAACAAATGTTGAGCATTCGGAAAAGTGTTGTCAATGGCATTCATCACAGTAAGCTCTCTATCTATGACAATGACTTCAGGTAAAACACTGTCGTCCATAAGATCACGCAATGTTTGTAATGCCCATGCATAATTATCAACACGCTCAGTTTGCAAGTATGCGATAGCCTCGGAGAATGTCATATGAGTTAATGTCACTCCCACAATTTCAAGAAGAGGAAGCCGATATCTATTTGTCTTATATGTACAATCCATAATCAACAGATGAGGGAATGTACGAAGTAAATCCAAACTCACTAGATGTGCCCAAAACAAGTCTGTGACAGTCATAGAGCCTTCCTCACATGGATGATGCTCAATTTACTTATGTTTCGCTAATTCACCCAGTAGTTGTTGCATCTGGGATCTATCAGCTTTCTATAGAATCCTATATCGATGTCGTACATTGTAAACTGTCTTCATTGTGCACATATTAAGGACATCCCTTTGTTTGAGTGTAATGAGTATCTCTTTTGGTCTTACTAGGCTCTTTGACATATCTACTAACAACGACTTTTCATTAGCTGACAATCTCCCTGCAGATGAATGTCCTTGGAGATGCTCCGCAGCTGGATGATTATGCAATCTACAAACTACATTCAATATCCATTCATCGTTTGTTTTCAACTTGTATGCCTTCAAATCAAATGGACATTCGCACTTCTTTGTACCAGTTTGTTTCAATAAGTCTTTTGAGCCATCTTTCAACTTTTTACGTGATCTATACTTTCCACTCCGCTCACAAGCAAGATAAATTCTTAGTCTCTTGATACCGCCACCATAGTCCGACGTCCTTATAACAATAACAAAGCCATTTGCCCTTCCAATATCACGTACCTAAGTGAGCAATTCATCTTTGCTGTCGAAAACCTATATATAATGTCACACAACTTTCATAAGAACAAACTAATTAATAAAAATTATGAACTTATGAATTTCATGTTAAAGGTTACCTGTTTAACAGTAAAATGACTAGTACAATCCACCATAATATCTGATCGAACCTCAGTTTCTTCAGTGGATGTGATCTGAAGAAAACAATTTTCATTTGGTTGTATAGAACTGAAAATAATATAATAATTCGGCACTAAAAATCTGAAAATAATAGAATAATTCGGCACTACAGAACCCAAAAAAAATGAAATAATTCTGCACTCTATAGCCGAACAAAATTATAAAATTCAGCACTGAACAACCGAAATAAGTCTCAAGTTTCAGAATTTAACTATCGAAATTTATCAAAAATTCGAAACTTATAGATCGAAACATCACTATTATTTCAAAAGTTGATTTTTGAATAATTTGATAAAATTCCACATTGGCTATCCGATTAAAAAACGCAAAAAAAATAAAAATTAATGCACGAAAAAACTAACCTTTTCAGCACTGATTTTGGTGTCATTAGATATATTTTTGCTTGAGTTTGAACTTCCATAGGTTTGCAACTCTTCCATATTAAAATAAAGTAAAAATTGTGAAACTAATAATTAAACGATGTAAATAGTAGAGTATAAACCTAGAAATTAAAGCGACATAAGAGATGTTTTGAGAGTATTGCACAAAGTGTGCAACAAGCAAAATGACCATAATAGAAAAATTAGGGTTTAATTGTTTTCATTCAAAATGTGTATATTGAGATATTTTTATTCCTAAAAGATGTGTATAGAGAATTTATGTATATAAAATTAAAGGTGTTGATAGATGTCTATTATAGTAATTTTTAATTAGGATATAATTGTCATTAAGTTAATTTTTCATTAAATGTGTGCCCTGAGTTTATCATGTGGGTGGAAATAGAATTTTTCATTTTGACAGTACTTATATAATTTTTATCCTTTTGAAAGACAAATTAGACAGTGAGTGATCTGCCACCAAATCCCGCAATGTTTTTTGGTCTTTTCATTTAAATTAGAATAAATATTCCATGATATTGCAATTAATTTAGGCCATTTAATTTCCATTATGAAAACATCTGTTACTTTTATTTTTTCAGAAAATATTTAATTGATATTATAAAAATAGAATAAAAAAATAAAATGAAAAAAAGCAATTCTTATTTCTTTCTTATTTTCTTATCGGGACAAGAAAAACTAATCCGGCGCTACAACACAAATTGTTAAACAAATTCCTAACTTTAGTAATTTCATAAACCTTGGATTATTAGCATCCAACTAAGCAAATAAATGACATAATCCGTTAGAATCCTGACTGTATTTGACTCCTCTTTCAGATTATGCATAGCATTAATTTCAGATTCCCCAAAAAACTCATCACTCACTCACCAACATGCATTGCAATCTTTACTCTCTCTCTCTCTATCAAAAACCCAGATACCCTAAAACCACGGGCTTTGCAGCATTGTAGTTTTTGTTCTTGTTTCTGGTTTTTAAGCTCTGCTTTTTGCTCATTTTCTCAAGTGGGTCTTTCATTAATCGCTCATTCTGCATTGTAGATTTTCATTTTCTCTGCCATAACCCCTGTTTCTCTGCTTCTTCGCCAAGAGGGTTTGTGTTTATTTTACACATAGAGCTATCTATTGTTTATCAATGGATGATTTTCCGATTTAATTGAATTTTTGGGGTTTGAAGAGTTGTTAAATTCCAGAAATTTGCTTGCAGCAGGATCAAAAGTAGTTGGAGAGTGATGAAGAAGAAAGGGAAAAAGATTCAAAATATTCGAAAGAAGGAAGAAGTTGCAGAGGATTGGTGCTTTGTATGCAAAGATGGTGGAAAGCTTCTTGTTTGTGAATACAAGTGAGTTTCTAAAAATGATTTCTTTGCTGTTTCAGTGTTTTTAGATGGAAGAGTGAGAGGAGGGACAGTGATTTGGGCACTCCATGTTCAGGACTGGAGGACAGTTTTCCCAATACATTGACAAAATTGCCCCCTCTAATTACTTCTTTCTTCCTTTGAATAAAGGGTATTCTCGTCTTTACACAAGGGCCAAGGTGGTTGAGAAAATGGGGTATCAATATCAATGGCCTATCACACATAATTTTATTTTATTTTATTTTTGATCACCTAGAATTTTTACATTCTTTGGTTCTTTTTTTTTTTCATTTCCAATGCTTTGTCAAAATTTTCATCAAATTCAAATTTGATTTAAAAAAAAAAAAAGAGGCTAGAAGTATGTTCTAAAAATGTCATTAAATCTGTATCAAACAATTTTTTTACCACATCAAGGATTAATCAACTTCTTCACTAAATTCTCAATAGTCATATTTTTACTTAAATTTGATGAATTTTTAAAAAGATTAAGAGCATCTCCAACCATTCACCAAAATTTTCACCTAATTTGATTTCAAATTTGAGTAAAAAGCTTATTTGGATATGAACTACTCCAATCTTTTCATCAAATTATCATCAAAATCTTTTTAAAAATTCCCCTTTTATTCCAAATTTCCCTTTTCATCAAATTTGATGAAAAAAATCATTTCCAATGCTTCATCTTTTTAATTTTTCATCAAATTCAAATTTGATGAAAAAAATGACTCTCCCTTGATCTGATGAACATTTGATGAAAGGATTAGAGATGGTTTTTGAGCATTTTTTCATCAAATTTAAATTTGATGAAAGAAATGGTGAAGGATTAGAGATGCTCTAAGGATTGTATATATATGTGTGTGTGTGTGTGTATTTGTAATAAAAAATGTTTAAAACAGGTTTTAGGATAAGTTTAGAATTTTTCAGATAGATTTGATTGAAAAAAAAAAGAAAAAAAAAAGGAGGATTGGAATGTTCTATGTCAGATCAAGTTTTAACCAAAATTTCACTCAAAAGAAAGGATTGGAGATGCTCTTAATTGACTTGCAGCTAACTTAAATAAAACATTAATGAATAACAAATTTACAAAAATGCCATTTGTCTTGTTTATATAAATTTTTATCTCAAGAATTGAAATTGCATTCAAAATAGATGCAAGGAAACAGTAATGTTTAAATTTTTTGCAATTAGCTTTTCAAAAGTGAAAATTTGGAGACATCAAAATAGGACGGAGGGAGTAACATTTTTGGTTGGTTCCTTTTAACTCATGGCTTTGCTTGACTCGTCTCCCATGTTGTGAGAATCCCTTATTCATTTTCTCTCATTTCATTAATGATTGGAAGTGGAAGGGAATTCTTCCTTTGATGCCTAGAAACATCCTTGCTAGAAGTTGTGATATATCAGATATGCTTTTTCATCTACTTACTTATGCTTAGCCTCTATTGTTGACTACCATGGTTTTTCTTCTTCTTCTTTTTATTTTTGTTTTTATAATTAGTAATGTGATAAATTTAAGAGAATACCATTAATAACTTGCACAGATCAACAGTTATTCAGCTAAAAAAATTGATGAATTTAAGGACAATACAAATGAAAACAATAAGAAAACAACGAAAGAAATTGTCAAGATGTATAACAGTGTCTAAAATATTGAATCATTGAGACATTTCTTTTTGCTTAAAATTTTGCTATGAGTTAGCTGACTGATGTTTCCAAGAATAAGTAATTCCTAATGAAGCAGGTGAGCTTTCAATGCCTTATAATTGAGCACACCTCCAGGGGTCTTTTCTTAATAATTTATTGTTTTTGTTGCATAAGTTGGTAGCTTACCAAGTTACCATGAATTACGAAAATCAAGAAACACTTGGTAAGGTATTTTTTATAACCAGATTTGAGCAATAAGCTTGGCTGTTACATGCGCTTGTATGCTGTCATATTTATTTATCTGACCCAAGCTGTGAGGCTTCTTTAAGTTTTTGATTGTGTTTAACTTTACATTATTACTTATTTATTTATGACGTATGTCTTTCTTAGAAACATTTTTATTGTAATGAGTTCTTCTCATTCTTGAGTTGGAGCAATTTATCACTTGTAATTGTCAAATGTCCTGATTCAGGCAGTGTCTAAAATCTTATCACGCCGATTGTGTGGGGCTGGATGAATCAGTTTTTGATACTGGAAACCGCTGGACTTGTGGTAAGTCACTCTTAATTATCTGCAGTTTACTTTCTTTTTTTTTTTCTTGTATACCATTTTGTACTTTTCTAATGGAATCTACACTTCTCTAGTAAAAGCATCACACCAATTGTCACATGCGGCATGCATGAAGTCAAAAGACTCATCATTTAATATATGATGCCAAGATGTATTTTTTCCAAATTTTGAATGATCTTATGTTTCATGCCCTCCAAATGACTCACAAAAAAATAACAATGTTGAATGTTTATGGAAACACTGTTTTCCTTTTATCCATGATCAACTTTTTTATGGAATTTGTCTTTATTGAGATTGGCAAGAGTTTATAATACTTGTTTTTAACATCATCCTAAACATGCTTAATTTATGGCCCTGATTCAATTCAAGCATCACCTTCATTATGAGTTTTGCAAGTCTCTGCGGACAAGAGAGTTCATACTCTTTGCAACTCTGCTGTTGTTGTTGAAACATATGTTCTTATTTCCTTGTCATATTTCTGTTGTGTTTACTATAACAGCATGCAAATCCATACCCATTTTCTATTTCAGGTTTGCATTCTTGCTTCATTTGCGAAAAGGATTCGAAGTTCCATTGCTATTGCTGCCCAACTGGCGTGTGCCAACGCTGCATCACTGGTGCGGAGTTTACACGTGTTAAAGGGCACAAAGGATTCTGCAATAACTGCTTAAAGCTGGCACTACTTGGAGAAGAGAACATGGATGTTGATTCTGATGGGGTATGATACAATATAAGAAGAGCTGCAAATTATATTTTTGAAATTTCTGTTGGCATTCCTTTAAGTTGCAAAATGAATTCTCTTGTGATTAGTAAGTTCTTTAATTTGGTTTGGAAAATCATCTCCTTGGTGTGAAGAAAGAAGTCCGTTGATAGAAATCTGTGTTGGATGCTCCTTCAACAAGTTAGCTGTTTGGCTCCATTCATGTCACATTAGACAGAGCATGCAACTTTGTTTAACATAATAAATGTTTAATATACTTTTAGGCCCCATTACAATGATAAAAATGGAAGTTCAGGGATGAAATTACATCATTAGGAATGGATTAAGTAATGGGATTCCTAGTGTTAGTGTCTTCTAGTCTTTAGGTGGTTTGGATTCTTACATTGTTGGTATGAAAATACAGTTTCTTTATTTGAAGTGCTCTTGAGTAACATTAAAAAATATTTATGTTTTAAATTATCTAATATAAATTTGAAATAGTGGAGATGGACCTGTTTGTGCTTGCATTGGGATAAATGGACCAAATTACCAAGGATGATTACCAAATTAAAAATCTAATGTTAGTTCCTTTTACTTTGCTTATTGCAGAGTAAACTTGCTAGTTGGTAATCACACATAAATCACATGAGACTGACTATAAGAGAGAGACAAGTAATTTAATGTGGTAAACCTTGAAGAATCTCTCCTCAAGGAAAAAACTACAGACACCCAAACAAATTAAATTTATTATGAATCAAAAGAGTATTGTATGAAGTAGTGAAAACTGCACGGAGGTCAGGGGTTCATCGGAGACTGGCAAAACACGTTAATGGCACAAGAGACTAAAAGGATGTCCGCGTGAGATAGTGTAGCCCAGTAGAGAGAGAGAGAGAGAGAGAGAGAGAGAGTGTGTCAGTGGAGCTCTGTAAGTACATGGCTCAAATCCTGTGCACAGGGGTGACCTCTAAAGGAATGTGATGTAAGGAGGGCACTGCCTTATATAGGTCATGTACAAACTAGTCAAATATTCCAGAATTTTGTTATAACATGTCAGGAATGTGTGTATCATTAAGTTGGGATGCAGTTTAATGTTCAACATGCCATACGTAATCCAAGTGGTACAGCCTCTCTCGAAGGGATTGGCCTAAGGTAGTGATACTCGTGGGGCCTCATGCCGCAGCTTTTAATAAGGAACACTCAGAAACCATGGTTAGCACTTATTCAGATGGTTTTTAATCTAACAAGTACTCTACTCTTGTATTATGGTTGCTGGTGTTGAATTGGGTTCAAAACCAGAAGTTTGAAATTCCAGATTTGAAAGTATTGATAATTTAGGTAGAGGTGTTGGTCACTTATGTGAAGGTGATGAGTGCCATGGTTGTTGGGGGTTTGTCTTGGCAAAGATGTAATATGTTAAGCTTGAGATTGAGGGAAGACAATAATAATTTTGAGCTCGAGATTTAGAGTTTGGATGAATGAAATTAATTGATCTAATAGAGAGACAGAGAGAGAGGAGGAGATGATTGGTGCCATATCCCTACCCTTTTGTTGGAGCAACAGTGGTTAAGGAGGAACAGCCAGTGATGGTAGATTTTATTTTTGGTGAAGTGTTGACGTTGATGGTGATGGGAAATGGTGGTTGCGTGGGTAGAGGGACGGGAAGAAGAGAACTGGTCCTTGATAATGGGAAATGATGGTTGAGTTTAGTAGTGTTATTTTATTTTATTTTTAAAGATATTTAATTAAATAAGCTTTTAAAGAATGGGTAACATGGCAACTTCTAACTTTTTGTTAATCCCGTCGCTTGACAGAATCTGCCAAGAGAGGTCATTGTCATTTGCAAGAGGGGATGTATTATTTAGAAACCTCAAGTAGGGGGCCAGTGTAATTTACCCAAATATTAGATTATTAGCACTTCTCCTTTTTTTGATCATGTTAATTTGATAATTTTTTCTTGTTTTTATAAGGAGTTACTTTTTTATTTTTCCAGTTGCAAAGTTTTATTTATTTATTATTATTATAGCTTTGTTTCCCATTCACTTCACTGATTGTATGCTTATTGCATTGCAGGAGAAGGTGGATTTTAAAGATCGGGAGACATATGAGGGCCTATTCATGGAATATTGGGAGATAATCAAGGAGGAAGAAGGCTTGACTTTGGAACATCTCCATGCTGCTGATGCTCAACTTAAAAAGGGTGAAAACTATAAGTCTGGCTCCCGTCGAGTAGAATCTAACAAGGATGAAGAAAATCAGTCCGATTATGATGATGAGGATGATGATGAGATAGAAGAGCCCAAGCTAGTTCAAAAAGTCAAGAGATCCAAGAGCCATAAGAAAAGGGAGGTAAAGTCAAACAAAAGAGAGTTCATTGGTTGGGGATCAAAATCTCTTATAGATTTTCTTTCATCAATTGGTAAAGATGCAAGGAAACGGTTATCCCAATATGATATTTCTTCTATCATTAATGGATACATCAATGAAAACAAGCTTTTTCGCCCAGAGAAAAAGAATAAGATTTTATGTGATGAAAGATTAAAGTCTGTTTTGGGGAGGAAATCAATCAACAGAAACAAAATATATGACCTCCTGGAACCTCATTTACTTGAGAACCTAGACCTATCAGAGGAGGATGAAGTGGGGAACAGTTCAGAAGACGAGGAGGAAAGTGTTTTGGTGGCTAGTAAAAAACAGAGAAAGTTGAGTTCATGTAGAAAATCCCAGGAAAAGGGGGTGGTTTTTGATGCTCCACTGAGCTGGTTTGCTGCCATTGTCGCTGAAAACATTAAACTTGTCTTCCTGAAGAGGAGCCTAGTGCAGGAGCTATTGAAGAAACCTGAAACCTTTGAAGACAAGGTAATAGGAAGCTTTGTGAGAGTCAAATCAGAGCCCAGTGACTCTATGCAGGGATTTTCTCATCAGCTTGTGCAAGTCGCAGGTTTGTCTGATTAGATATTTGATTATTCGATGATTTAACTGAACTATTTCTTTCTAGTAGTTGGGCTCCACTGACTTATTAAGAATCAAAAACTGTGCATCACCATAGAGTAATAATTTTGAAGAAAAGTTGTGTTATTTCCCTCTTATCGGTGGAGTCATGTCCTTCATAGTAGTTGTGTTGGTTTTTTATCCAGTTCTCGAACTAGTGATATTTTCTTATTGCAATGATTTTTTGTTTGATATATGAAGAATGAAGATCATCTGCAATGTATTAGTTTCATATTTCACTTTCTTAAAATTATCACAAATGTCAAACATAATAGCAGGCCATTTGTGGTTTTAAGACTTGATTTCAAACACATAAAATATCCACATCTAATTTGAGGAGTTGGTTTTGTATGAAATCTGCAAGTCCTGAGACTTGTATCATTGTAAGTGTTTGTTGTGGCAAGTTTCAATTGTTAGAATGTGTTAGGATATTTCCTATTTTATTCTCATTCAGTCTCTTTATTTGCTGTAATGGGCCTTTATTTAGGCCTTAACTTATGTTTATGATTTAATATAAAAGGGTATGATAAACCAATCATACCCTAACTTTTTCTCTTCTAAAAATAACATCAATACCGTGCCTTGAAGCACTAAACCTGGAAGAGATGTTGTATACTATTTTAACTAGTTTGTGTGTGAAAACAACTTTGAGGAATGAATTCTGTATGAACCTATATCTAGAAGTTCTTCGATGAATTTGATGTGTGGCAAGTGAGAAGAAGTCGAAGTTTTTGAGTTGCAAGTGAACAGAAGTTTAGTGAAATCAGAATAAGAAAGTACTGATTTTGCCGGAACCTAAATGTAATGGAATACATTTTGATATCATAAATCGTACTCGTAGATTCATGACCAATATAGATGTATCCAGGTACTCCCTCGTGTTCGTTTTATGTATTTTGAAAGAACAACCAAAGGGCAATGAAGTAGGTAGCAGCAAGAATATGCTATGTCCAGAATTTGGTTGGTATAGAGTCTACAACTCTATGGAATAACTTTCAGAATGATTTGGTAGATAGTGCTTGAATGTGTCAAACTTAAATGTTTAATATTCGGTGTTTTGAATTGTTTGATTTTTCTTTAATTTGATTATCTGCATTACTTTATCCTAGAGTTTGCAGAAACCTAACCAATTATTTGTGGATATTTGGATGATTTTTTGTTTCCAGTGTAAGCTATGTTAATGTTTTACCTATTGTTATCATGTGTATGGACTCAGGCATGAAGAAGCCATCACCAGGGGAAAGCAATTCAGAAATTCTCCTTCAAGTTTCAAATATGTCAAAAGACATTCACATCAACATGCTTTCAGAGGATAACTTCTCCGAGGTAACAATATTGTGCGGAAGTATTTTCAGTTGCTCTTTTTTCTTGTTCTTTATTCTTCCCTTTTTGTTTCTTACTACTCCTCCTTTCTTTCTTTTCTTCACTGCAACACAGTTTCAATGATTGATTCATTCAAGAAGCATGCTTGCATCCTTTTCTCTATTCATCCGTTAACTTAACTAAAGTTTTATTGTTGATTCAAGTGGAGCATATTTCATAATGCAGTTGTGCTTTCAGCTTTAGCACAAATAAATAATCATGGTGCATACTCTCATGTGAAGAATGTTAATGTTTTATAGTTTGTGATATTTGGAACTGAATATTTTTGTATAGTATGGAATATGGATTGTAATGGCAAGTATTTTTTGATGTTCGGTTGACCCTTTTGGTTACATCCAATTAAATGAAAATGCAAACACTTCCATCAAACTGAGGCATAGCAATAATCTTCCATGGTTTTAAATGAAAGTTCTTTCCTGGGTGCCACTAATATATTGTGGATTACTTTTCTTAATACTCAATAAGCATGTATGACCATTTTTTGGGATTGTGCTTTTTATGCAACTTTGTTTTGGTTATTTCTTTGGACAGTAAATGTAAATGCTAGGATCTTTGAGAATAAGATTGAAGAGGCGGCCTCTTGATGGATAAAATTTGTTATCCATCATCCTTTTGGGTTTCAGTCTCCTCCCCCTTTAGAGGAATTCCTTTTATTATTATTATTATTATTGGGGAAATCTCAAAATCAGTTGGACAGTGGGAAGCAAATCTCATTTTCTCTGTGGTGCAAGTCTATCATGTGTGGGGTGCAAGTCCTTTCTTGTATAGGGTGCAAGTCTTTCCTGTGCACCCAAAAGATTCCCCTATATATTTTTCATTTTTTATTTTATATGAGGGCAGTGTGTGTTATATATTGTGCAAGATTTATCTTTGTTTTTGTTTTTCATTTCTTGGACGACCCCATAATGTTTTGTTTTTCCCGCTAATGAAACAAAATGTGATGCAGAATAGGATTAAAGAACACACATTTATTAAAGGATGGGAATTCACCATGGCTGTTGTCATAGGGTCAATTTTCAGCCACAAATTTTTGCTTGCAATGGTACTAAGTCACAGTACTTAGTCTCAGCCAAACAATGCAACACTCACCTACACAACAAGGTTTGACAAGTAATATAGAGTTCACAGACACAGCAGCAATTATGGGAAACCCAACCTTTATTATTGCACCAATAATACAAAGGAAAGTCAAGGCAACTCTACAACACTTGATGAATTTCGAGTGCCATAGCCATGCCTATTTAAAGGCTTACAATCAGAACATTTGAATTCGAATAGGCAACCAAAACATAAGGAAAACATGCCACATGGCATGATAGTTGACACCCCAACTGCCAAAGGGTTTAGGACAAATTTGAAGTAAGCCAACATGTGTAACTGCCACATTTCAACCTTCCCTTATCCTTGCCAGCATGTCTTTGGTCTGCATAACCACCCCTATATTTTAGGCTTGCCTTTGTCTTGCCTCTAGACAATTTGAACCGCCCATGTCCAAGCCAAACGCAGCCTTGAGTGGCTGTTGTTTGTCTTGGTCAAGCCTAATGCGCCTTGTTTTCCAGCCAAGTGCCAATCATGCCTTGTTGTCTAGCCAAGTCAAGCCATCTAATTGTATTGAACCTCCAAGTGTGTTGCAGCCTACGATTCAAGTCACGTTGGTACCTTGCATCTTGTTAAGTGTTAGGGTAATTATGTAATTTGTGTTAACCTATTATTATTATAAATAGTTGTGTGGAAGGGGTGAACCCTAAGTTTTAGTTTAATATTATTTTTCAGCCGCCCCTCTCTCTCTCTTTCATTCTTCAACTTCTTCTATACATTCAACTTGGTATTGGAGCAACATCTTCCTCCTTGAAGATTGTTCCTTTCGTTTCTCTCATTTTTTTCCCTTTATCAGTTGTGTAAAAAAAAAAAAAAAAAAATTCCTGTGTGCTTTTAATTTAATAGGTTTATACCCTATAATTTTCTTTTAATTTTTTGCTCATTGTTTGATTGGTTTTTCAATTTTTTCGGTTTTTCATCAAAACTGGGTGATTTTTCAAAAGTCTTTGCTTGAGCCCCTTTTGGCTGGAATTTTTTCCTCCCCCTCTCTTCCTTTGGAGTCGATTGGAACCTTAAAGGGGTTTGTTGTCCATGTTTTGAGGTTTTTTGATACTTCCTTTGAGTTTTTGTGAGTTTTGGATGGTCTGCTTCGGTTTTCTTGCTTCAAGTTGATCTGGTTGCTTTGTTCTGGGGTAATCTTGCACTGTTTCAGCCTTTGAAGGTGAGTTGCCGTGTTGGTTGGGTGTTTTCTGGATTTGATTGATATCTTACTTGTGTTTTTGCATCTTGTTTCTCTCATCACATGGCTGAAAGCAAGGGTCAAGCATCTAAGGCCAAAGAAGAGAGTGGGCTGAGTCGTGGTATGACTCTTGGTGATAGTCCTTTTCTCCAAATTAGCCCTGTCAAGCTTAATGGTACCAATTACTTGATTTGGTCCTGTTCCTGCAGTCTTGCTATTGTTGCTCGCCGTTTGATTGGCTATATTACCGGTAGCATCAAGCAACCTGATGCGGATGAAGCTTTGTCCACTCAATGGATTTTTGAGAATGCTTTGGTTATGACTTGGCTGATCAACTCTATAGAGCCTACCATTAGTCGGACTTTCTCTTATTGGATATTGCTCACAAGATTTGGACAACTGCCGCTCAGATGTATTCTCAAAAGGGTAATGATGCACAGGTCTATGAGTTGAGAAAGAAGATTAGGGGCTTGGATCAGAGGGATCGTTCTCTTGCAGTATACTATGCTGTGTTGAGTGGCTTGTGGCAGAAAGTTGATTACTACCAGAGTTTCCTGGTTGTTTGTTTCAAGGATGCCACTATGTTTCAGCAGTCTGTGGAGAATGAGCGTGTTTATGACTTTCTTGCTGGCCTGAATTTGGAGTATGATCAGATTTGTGTTCAATTGTTGGGCTGCTCTCCGTTTCCCACCTTGTGCAAGGCTTATGCTCTTGTTCAGTAGGAGGAGAGTCGGCGTAGAGCTATGGTGCAAACCTCTATTCAGGATCAGTCTACGTTGGTTGCAGCTCCTAAGTCATGTGATACTCAGCTTAGTTAGCCACAGGTTGGTAGTAAGGGTCCCTTGTTTGATCAGGATCGGTTGAAGTGTGATTATTGTGGGAAAGACAAACATGATAGGGAGCACTGTTGGAAGTTGCATGGTCGTCTTACTCAAGGCCGTGGTCATGGTAGTAGTGTTTGTCCTCAAGCTCATGTTTCCGAGATTCCTGCTAGTGCCCCCAGTGATACTGGTCCTATTTCCCAAGATGAGCTTCACACTCTCATACGTTTGATGGCCCAGCTTGATTCTTCATCTACTTTAGCTCTTTCTTCCTCTGCTTTTTTCAACTTTGCCCACACAGGTATTTCTGCTAGTGCCCTTAGTACATCTTCGTCGTATTGATTTCGGTGCTACCGATCACATGATAGGTGCCTCTAGTCTTTTCTATTCTTATTCTCCATGTTTTTAGCGAGATAAGGTTTGGGTGGCCGATGGCACTTTATCCTCTATCTCTGGCCAGGGTTCAGTTCATTGTTCCTCTTTACTTTCTCTTCCATCTGTTTCTTCATTTCCCTAACTTTTTATTTGAGATGATCTAAATAAGTACACTTTTTGACTTTTTACGAAAGGATGTGCAGAAAAGTAGAGAGGTGATGTGATCCCAAAAAGATAAAAAGTGTGCTATTGTAGTTCACCCCAAACAAATACTTTCTGTTAGTAGCCTTACTACTTCTATCAATTGCTTTGTAACCTTTTTTCCTACTCATTATGTCTTTAAAGAACTGGCTACGGGGAAAATGATTGGCAGTGGTAGAGCACAAGATGAACTATACTTTCTGGATGTCGTTCCTCCTACATTACCTTTGTCCGTCTAGGCTCTTTAATGCACTACTAGCTCCTCTCTTCATCTCCTTCATCAGTGGCATCGTCGTTTGGGTTGTCATTCCTTTAGTATTTTAGAGAAGCTTTTTCCTTCATTAGTTCAAGATTGTCCTAAGAATAATTTGTGATGCTTGTGAGCTTGCTAAGTATAAACGTACTTGTTATCCCGTAATTAATAAAAGTACTTTTCCTTTTATATTTATTCATACTACTGTGTGGGGCCCTTCCCCTGTGGTTTCTACTTTTGGTCATCGGTGGTTTGTGACTTTTATTGATTGTTATTCCCGTGTGACTTGGGTTTATTTACTTCGGATTAAAAATGAGATTTTCTTGTGCTTCCAATTTTTTCATAAAACGTTGTCCAATCTCTTTAATGTTACCATCAAAATTTGTTGGAGTGATAATGGGATTGAGTATGTTGATGGAGCTTTCCAAGCATACCTTGAGGAGCATGGTATTCTTTATCAGGCTAGTTGTGTTGGCACTCCTGAGCATAATGGAGTTGTTGAACGCAAGAATGACCATCTCTTTGAAGTTGCTCACTCCCTTTTGTTTACTATGAAAATTCCTAAGTCTTTTTAGGGGGATGCTGTTCTTACTGCTACTTACCACCTTATTAACCGTATCCCCTCTAGTTTTTCTCCACTTCAAAATTCCTCTTGAACTTCTTCTTGAGACTTATCTCACTACTTCTCTTTGTCCTTGGGTTTTTGGGAGTGCCAGTTTTGTTCATCTGCAACCTCATACTCGTGGGAAGCTTGATCCTAAGGCTGTCTATTGTGTCTTTATTAGCTATTCTGCTACTCAAAAGGGCTACAAATGCTATAACCCTCACACTTGTAAGGTGTATGTTAAGTTTTTTTTTACTTGCCCTCTATTTTTTTAGGTGAATAACTTGTCCTCCTTTAACTCCTCAGGGGGAGAGTGTTGCAGATGAGATTGTAGATGAGGCGATGTCATATCAACATGAGTTATCCTTTTTCCTTCCCAGTCAGCGGGCTGTTATTTGTGGTGAGAGGTAACCTAAGAGTTCTGTTGATGAGGAGCCTGCATCGGTGGTCGTTTGGACCGGGTTGATGTTAAGACTTATTTTTGGCGTCAGAAAAAGTAGATTTCTCCCGTGCTACCAAGTCAATCATCATCCCTCATGGCAGTTCTATATCCAGCTTCCGCTGAATCTACAGGTAATGATCCCTAGCCTAATTCTTCACCAGTTGTTGGTAGTCTTATTGTTGATGATTTGAGTCTCCTTATTGCTCTTAGAAAGGGGGTTAGAGCATGTACTCAACACCCCATTTCTTTGTTTTTAGCCTAATTCTTTGTTTTTTTTATGACTTGCTCACCCAAAAAAAAAAAGCACCCCATTTCTAAATTTGTGTCATATAATTCATTTTCTTCTACATATCGTACCTTTGTTTCGTCTCTGTCTTCTGTGTGTATCCCATAGGGTTGGAAAGAAGCTATCAATGATCCTAAGTGAAAAATAATTATGGTAGAAGAGACACAAGCTCTGAGCAAAAATAACACTTGGGAGTTGGTTTCTCTTCTTAATGGAAAAAAAATCAGTAGGGTGTAAGTGGGTGTTCACCATTAAACAAAAAATAGATGGGATGATTGAACGGTACAAAGTAAGACTAGTGGTTAAGGGATTTACCAAGACATGGAATTGACTATTAAGAAACTTTTGCCCCTATAGCGAAGCTAAATTCCATTTGAGCTATTCTTTCATGTGCTGCTAACTTGGGATGGCCTTTACAACAATCAAATGTGAAGAATGCCTTTCTTTATGGTGATTTGGAGGAGGAATTACATATGGATGTACCTCCAGGATTCTCGTCTCGGTCTAAACCAAACCAAACCAAACCAAACTAAACCTTAAGTCTCATCAAATGGGGTCGGCTGTATGAATCATTCTTCTCCATTCGACTCTATCCAAGGCCATTTCGTTAGTCAGATTAAGGAGATTCATATCTCTATTTACTACAGTAGTCCACGTCAATCTAGGCATACCCCTTCCCCTAACATTACCATCTACTATTACTGTATCCTTCTCTTAACTACTGCCTTTGTATATATGACCAAACCATCTCAATTTATTCTCTCTTAACTTATCTTCTATCGGTAATACTCTTACCCATTCTTGAATATACTCATTCCTAACTCTGTCTTTTCTGGTCTTGCCACACATAAGTATCCTCATCTTATTTACATGTTGTTTCTTAGTTGCCCAACATTCTGTCCCATACAATATCGCTAGTCTAATAGCCATTTTATAGAACTTTCCTGTTTAGTCTAATGAGTACTCGTTTATCGCATAGTATTCTAGACGCACTCCTCCACTTAAGCCATCCTGCCTTAATTCTATGGACCATTTCCGCTCCAATCTTTCCAGTCATTGTGATAATCGATCCTAAATAACGAAAATGTTCACTCTTAGGTAATTCTTGGTTATCAATCTTCACTTCTCCTCTACTTCTGTTGTGACTGTTACTAAAATTACTCTATATATACTCTGTCTTAGTTCTGCTTATCCTAAATCCTTTTAGTCTCATCCACTAACACGATATCATTTGCTAAAAGCATACACTATGGCACATCATCTTGAATTTTGCGCGTCAACTCATCTATAACTAAAGCGAAGAGATGTTTATCAAAAAAAAAAAAAAAAACACTAAAGCGAAAAGATAAGGGCTTAAGGTTGATCCTTGGTGTAACCCTACAATAATTGGAAATTCACTCGTCTCTCTAGGAGGCGATCTAATAGTGGTTACCACACCTTCATACATATCCCTAATCACATCAATGTAAGCTTTTGTCACCCCTTTCTTCTCTAACACCCACCTGATTATATCCTGAGACACTCTATCATATGCTTTCTCAAGATCGATAAAAACCATATGAATTTCTCTTTTCTTTTCTCTGTACTTTTTTATTACTCTCCTTAAAAGATAGATCGCTTCCATTGTTGACCTACCAAGTATAAACCCAAATTGATTATCTGGCACCTTTGTTATATCCCGCAATCGACGTTCCATCACTCTCTCCCACATTTTCATTGTGTGACACATTAACTTGATTCCTCTATAATTGTTGTAATTCTGGACATCTCTTTTATTCTTATATATTGGCACTAAAATACTCTTCTTTGACATTTTCCTATTTAACAAAATCTTGCTAAATAACCTAGTCAACCAAACAATCCCTTCCTTACCTAAACATTTCCACTCTTCAATAGGTATATCATCGGGTCCTAAAGCCATATTCGATTTCATCTTCTTAAGTGCAAACTCTACTTCAAAGTCTTTAATCCTACGATAGAACTTATAGTCCTAGCTTTCCTTATTACTGCCTACTTTCTTCCCTTTTGACCTATCTCCATGTTCCTCATTTAACAACTTCTCAAAATAGTTCTTCCACCTCTCCTTAATCTCTACATCCTTCACTAACACCCTAAAGTTCTCACCCTTGATGTGCTTAATATGATTAAAATCTCTTATTTTTCTCTCTCTTATCTTAACAAGTTTGTATATCATCTTCTCTCCCTCTTTGCTATCTAGTCTAGTGTATAAGTCATCATAGGCTACAGTTGGAAAAGTTCGTAGGTTGAAGAAGGCTTTATATGGTTTGAAATAGTCTCCTCGAGCCTAATTTGGCAGATTTCTAAAAGCTATGTTAGAGTTTGGATATAAGCAAAGAAATGCAGATCCACCAAGTTTGTCAAACGCAATGCAAATAAGATAATAGTGCTTATTGTATATGTGGATGACATAGTTGTGACAGGTACTGATGAGGAGGAAGTGACACATCTCAAAATGCAGTTAGCCAAGGAATTTGAGATCAAAGACCTTGGATTGTTGAGGTACTTTCTTGGGATTGAAGTTGCCAGGTCTGAAAAAGGCATATTTATTCCTCAAAGGAAGTACATTCTAGATCTTCTTGAGGAAACTGGCTTTTGGGGTTGCAGACCAGTTGATTCACTGATTGAGACTAATTATTATATTTGCAGTGGCGTTGGTGATCTTGTGGAGAAGGAAAGGTCTAAGAGACTTGCGGGAAGACTTATATATCTATCCTATACTCGTCCAGATATTGCCTATGCGGTCAAGATAGTGAGTCAGTTTACCTAGAGAAGTAAGAAACTGAATGTGGTAGCAAGGTCTAGTGCAAAAGCAGAGTTTAGGGCTGGCACAAGGTGTGTGTGAACTCTTGTGGATCAAGTTGATGTTGAGTGATCTGGGAATTGATCAGACAGGCTTCATTCGACTATATTGTGAGAATGAGGTTGTTATCACTTCAGTTCAACATGACCGGACGAAACACGTTGAAATTAATTGTCATTTTATCAAGGAGAAACTTACTAGTGGCACTATATGCACTCCTTTTGTGAAGTTTGGTGAACAACTTGCGGATATTCTCACCAAAGGAGGTGGGAGTAAACCATTTCATGATGTTCTTAGTAATCTGGGCATGAGAGATATTTTGCACCAGCTTGAGGCGAAGTGTTTGCAAAATATCTTTGTTATTATTTGTTATTATTCTATTTAGCTGTCATTAGCTGTAGGTTTCCTTATTTGTGCCTTGAGGCTTCCATTGTAAGTTTCCTATTATTAATATAAAAGGAAATGACAACCTAATCATTTCCTAAGTTTGTGTTTCCCTTAAACAAACAGAACGTACCTTAGGAATACTTATGAAATGTCATGAGAGAATTGTGTTATGCTTATGACTTAATCATAGGCCATTATCTATTTTATGTTGAGAATATGAATAATTATGTTGCGCCTTTGTTTCTTGTAGCTATGGCTTATAAAGGCAGCGGTTGTTATGTTAATAATATGGCATCAGAACATGCAAAAGATTCCATGTTTGAATCTTTCAATTTACTTACTAATTGTAATATTTGTATTTGTGGCTTGCTTATGGTGGAGAGTTTGGTCACATGCGAGGGGGCATGTTGAAAATATAAGTAATTAAGTTACACCTCTCTCTAATAGCTAAAGCTTTTAGATGGTTGGTTGTTTACAATTTGACATTATATATGGCTATTCCCCTTACATAGTCTTGCTTAAGATAATCACTGAGGGTTCGTTTGGGATGTGGGTTGGCTTTTTGGCTATTTTTGCCTGGGGCTAAAAAGCCTCGTTTGGGATGAGTTTTTTGGCTTTTGTAAGAGAAAAAATGAAATGATTATGATTTGGATGTGACATTTTGTCTTATTGACTTTTTAGTCTATTTTGTTTTTTTATGGTTATTTTAGCCAAAAAGCCCCAAGCTTTTTCTTCTCAAACGAGCTCTAAGTGGCCTTGCCTGTAGTAGTTTTTAATGTTTATTGCATTTTTGGTCCAAGTCTGATTCTAGTGAGTTGTTTTTTAACATAATTATCATAAGAAAGTATATGAGTGCAATTTTTTTTTTTTTTTGGTGACTGTGTTGGACTGTTGGTGCTGCTTTCTTTGAAAATGTCTCTCTCTCTGAATGTTTACTGAACATGATCTCCTTCAGAGGAAACTGGGGCCTCTGTTAATGTACATGCAGCCTCATGCTAATCACTGGGGTGTTCCTGCCACAATTCTCTGCATAGAGTAGACCCAAAGCTCCAGTGTTTATCTGTGATCAGAACTGTCCTTTTCACCAATTTAACTTGCAGTAAATCAAATGTGGACTCCAAGATATGAGGTGTTGTGACAAAGTTCTCCCTAGTCAGTGCAAAGAATGTTATTGTTGCATTTAATCGGTATCATCTACTTTTAATGGATTTTTAGGGCACGGAAAAATATTCCCAAATAATCTTTTAAGTGGTGGCATAATGCATCTATTTCTCGAACATGATAGCTTTTTTCCTACCTCCACAATTTGGTCTTGAAATTGTCACTCCTTACTCTAATGTTATACTTCTCGCCAGTAAATTCTTATTATTCTGGTACTACTTATCCCTAAGTTATACTTTAATTTAAATAATAATATGTAATCAGAAGTTAAATTCTTTGAATAGTTTAACATAAAAGGCAGCAGCTGTTTATCATTTCAACCATGATAGTTGTGGCTTAGAAGTTAAACTCTTTTGCAGGAAGAATGCGAAGATTTAAAACAAAAAGTGAAAGCTGGTCTACTTAAAAGGCCTACTATGGTAAGTTCCCTCGTACTTTGTTGTTTTGTTTTGTTCAGTTGTTCTTTACTTATCCACTGGAAAAGTTATACTTCTTTAATTATATCTATAAGGGAATCAGTTTCGTAAATATTGCATATTTCTATTGAATTGAATCTGATTGGAAGAACTGGTGTCTTCTTTTTCTGTATTTTTTTAACCATCTGAAAAACTCCTTTGGAAAGAAATGTAGTTTGCATTTGAATTTTCTGAGGATCGAGTCAAATAAAACATCAGAACTATTGTGTCTCTATAATATGATTGCTCTGACACTGAATGTCTCTTTTCCTTCTGGGATCCTTGTAATTCCTGTCAACTTTGATTGAACTGGAAAAGAAGGAATCCATGATGCATGCATGTTCCAACTTGCTCTGCTATTTTGCAAAATGTAGTGGTCATTGTTTTCAAATCACGAATGGTATTGTGAATTGTTTTGCAAAAATAGTGACTCATGAATCGTAAAATTCATTTTATTTAGCATAATATATAATTTTATATATGATATGCATATAATGTTTAAAATAGAATAAATACAATATGGCAAAATTGTATGCATGTATATACATATAAAATCATATACATCAATATAATTAATTGATCACATTTTATTATTATTATTTTTTGATTTTTGTGAAAACGATGCCATTCTATGCAAACAGAACTGGATCGCTTGAATCACAGTGAATTGCAATTGAATCGTAAGATTCACTCAATTAAGATTCAACTGCAAGAATCGAATCGTTTTGCTTGAAAATTGTATCTAACCATATGAATTGAATAACAACCATGGTTGTGGTTAATTAGTTTGGTAAAACAATGCATGCTGCAGTTCTGTTCTATTCTCCCAGGAACTGCTCATTCTTCTTTGGATATTTTAGTTTGTGGGCTTCAACAGATTTAGGATGTATCTTCAGAATTTGAACCATCTCCTACTTTTTGACTACTCCATAACCTTTAGAAAATGCAGTGTGTGTTCCTGGAAATCGCACCTATTTGATGTTGTAAAAATCCAGCAAACTGTTGCAAGCAAGACTGATTAATTATTATCTTTCTCTAGCCCTAAGTCTGTGCAACTTGTGAATTGCCATTCCTCTACAATTCAGGTTTTCTTAAGCTGGGTCTTTCTCTACCCGTCTACAGAACATTTTTACCTGTAGCAGATGAAGATTGATTTGTGCTCCTGCCACATGTCACATGGGCATTGGTTATATCTTTGTGCCTCAGTGGGATGACTTCTCATTGTAACCCAGCCTTTTGTGGTTGGCTTTATTAGTTGTTTATATGACTATTGAATATCGTTTTTTTTTTTGGGTTGAATTCTATTGAATATCGTTGCAACTGAAGCATACCCAATATCTGAATCCTGTAACTAGTAATTTCCCTCAAGAAGAAAGCAATCTGCAATCGTGTTTGTGTTTGATAAACCCATTTAGGAGGAAATAAGTAGCACTTTATGGTAAATTGTATACTAGCCTACATGGGAATATCCATCCTCAAATCATTCCATTCCATAAAACCCTAGGTACATACTGTAAGCATAAGTGGAACTCAAGAAAACATGAGCTTTGTTTATTTTATCAGTAAATTTAACATTTAAAAACATTATTTTTTCCCTTTCACCAAGTACTTTAAATTGTTTAATAAATTGTATCTTACAGTTAATGGCTTCACTTTGTCACAACATCAAACAATTAGAAATCAGTTTGTGTCTCAATCTACAATTATGCATACAAACTTTGCTGCTACTGTATGGATTTTAATATTCTCACCATCTCTGTTGCACATTAGTGTTATGTATTCTGATTATAAACTTTTATTAAAATATTTTATCTGACAGGTGGAGCTTGAACAGAAGGCCAAAACTCTGCATGAAGATATAACAAAGCATGTATGAATTTCCACTTCAGTATTGTTCACAAGTGCATTATGTCATCTATTTTCATGTCATCTATTCTGTGCTTCCATAGAAGAATCCGAGTGTTGTACTAGAATTTCTTCCATCAATCCTCAGAATGAACCATGTGAGTGGGAAAAACAAAAGACAAATAAAATGAAACGAAAGGCCAATATGCCCTTTGAACTTGTTGTGACAACTTCCAGCTTTCTGCTGTGTTAAAATCTGTTTCATAGGAGGCCTTGATTAGAGGTTCAAGATTTCGCTCTTTATATCGTACCAAATTATTTTATGTTTGTTAGATAGCTTGATATAGATTGTTGTTAGGAAATGGGCCCGACAATGTATATCAAGCTATCTAACAATTTTCATCCATGCTTGTGTTTATTTGTTAGTGTGTATGCATTGGAGAGAGTGTTTCCCATAAGGTCATACTTCTAGAATTTGTGTTATTATGTTTTTTGTTCTGATATTTATTGCAATGGGCCATCATAAACTGGTGGTTTTGTGCTTCCACTTGGCCAATGTATCCTACCATTCCTTTCGCTAATTAATTAATGATAATCAAATTCTACCCTTAGGATGCCAAATTGTGTCATAAAATAGTAATCTTCTTGTTTTGTTATGCATAGCATTTGAAGTAGGTCCTATTGTTTTATCTCACTTAAATGTGCCTATTTGTCTTACCATTTATTTATGAATTGATATTAATATGATTACTGTCTTTGTTACATGGGTTCTTGAAAATAAATTTAATACCCATATTAGACACCGAACACTTAGACAAGGGTGTGGGATGTGTTTGATATTTTTCATGACACTTCTTAGATATTTGTATTTAATTCTATCATTAATGAATATATTGTTGTATAATTAGGCTATAAAATGAGTAAAATGTCTTTTTGATATTGTATGTTACATATAACACCATTTTATCTAACATAATACATTAAAAATATGATTATTTGTTTTTTTTGACCAAGTCAACGTACACTTAAAGTTAGGGTTTGATGCATCCAACCTCTAGATGCGTACCCACACTTGGCACAGGTACCCGAGTCCATGTAACATAGATTACTATAAATATATCATTTCTGTTATTTTATTATCATTCCATTGATAATGCAGACTATTTACTTGACTAAACTATCCTAGAATTTCAGTTAAGAACATCTGAATGCTACCTTGGTAGTTGTACTAAATATGATTTGAGGATATGAGTTGTGTTTTGAGTTTGAGTTTTGAAATTATGATTTGAGCGTAGAAAATTTGTTTGGTGAATGAGTTTTGAAAAGAGTTTTGAATTGAGTGGGGAATTTTTGATGTAACATATGATATTTGATACAAAAACTTACAACTCATAATCAAACACACAACTCAAAATTCTATTCAAAACTTATAAATTTTTTTTAAAATTTCCGATTTTTTTTTATTTAAAATATAAAAAATAACAGGTGCCAATTGTAAAAATAAAAAAATAAATATTGCATTGTTCCGGTTAACTGGCCGGACATCTGGGAGGACGACCGGTTAGTCCAAATTTTCCCGCCTTGGAAAGAGTTTTCAAAAATTGATGTGGAATTAATTTTTGAAAACTGTAACCAAACACCACGTGAAAATCAAGTGGTAGAAATACATTTCAAAAACTCTTCCAAACAGAGCCTGTAATCTTTCTGTTTATATGTTATCTGTTGCTTTGCTATTATGTTTCTGCTTATTTTTTCTTTGTATTTGAACAATTTCAGTGGATTGCCAAAGAGCTGGCTTTATTACAAAACCTCATTGATCGAGCAAATGAGAAAGGATGGAGAGCTGAATATCCTTTTGTGATATAGTTTTGAAATGCAGAGTCACATAGTGAATTTGCTGAGAACCTATGATAGCTTGTCACACACATCACTAGATTAAGTGAATTACTATGAAGAATCTAAAACTATTCTTTCATAAATACCAACAACCAAAATCTTCATTTGATCAACAAAAGTAATATGCAGAAGCAAAAGAAGTTAAAATTGTTTGATTTGTGGACCGCAATATCCAATTTGAATTGTCCATCTAAAATACTTTCTTTGATTTATTATTTCAGACTTAAGATGTAAAAGGATATTTACTAATTGGATTTTGTTAACGTGTGCCCTTAGGGCACTTGTTATGATGATTAGAAAGATTGTACATTTTGTATGGAAGTGCGTGTAATAAAGAATGTACAATCTTTTTAAACCTTCTTAACATGTATCCTAATGGCACACGTTAACATGAACCTTATTAATAATTGTCATGGTCACTCACCACATTACTTTTGTTCATTTGCCTTTGGTGGGCATCCACACACAATAATGTAAATGCTCATACATGTATATATGTAAGTTCTTTAGTTTTTACAAGGTGACAACATTTGCTGTAAAAGGTTAATGTGACCCTTAACCTACATGGTGTTCTACGCTCTTTGAATACTTGGAGAGAAGACAGTTGCTTCAGAAACCATCAGAACAGTTACGATTGCTACAAAAGGTTCCCAGGGCGCTTGCAGATATATCAGATTTTGAACCTACGTTGCAAAAATCAATGCTCAAGGGGAGTTCGGAAACTCCTGGTGATAACAACGGTGGCAATGGAATTTCTTTAGGTATAATAGATGCTGGAGGTTGGTTAAGTTTCTACTATTATGCCTGCATTTCCATTAAAAATCTTTGGGATGTTCTGGAACAGATTTCTAAATCTAACTGTAATATTTAAATTTAGTTTTGATTTCAAGCCACTTCAAATTCCAAATTTCAGACAATGTAGTTTCGATTTTTCTTTTGTATAACTTTCATTGCTCAACAAAGTTTCTTGAAATCAAGAAATTATGTAATGAAATCAATCTGTAGAAGGATCAATGACAAGCCTAAAATACAAATTCTGATCTGAAATTGAAAGTTATATTTGGGAATTATATTTTCTTACCCTTACTGTGACTAACCCTAGGTAAGACTTGTATTTCTTAAAAATATGCAATATCTCCTCATCTTGTCATGGAAGTGGAGTATTACTTGTAATGTTCTATCATACACTAAGTTTTAACATTTTATTAAATGGAATTGTTCCATTTTATTATTCAAATTATTGAATGCATTTATATATATATATATATATCTATTTAGGGGAAATGTAATATGACACTATTTCATAAAATCCTACTCCAACATGTAGCTTCCAAGTGAAACAAGATGGGATTCCTTGTATTGTATGAAAATCAATAGAACATTTCAAACGGCATGTGAAAATAGTGGTTTGAGAAAATAGGAAACATGGTGTTCTCTTCAGCAATCTCCAGTTCGTAGTTGTTAAATATAAAATTCTCTTTAGCAGTTAAATATTAACTATAGGAGTAGCCCTCTAGTCTTTGCATAGTTCAATAAGATTATATTTTGTTTCAAATTTTTGACAATTTATATAATGTATGCAGGTGATGGAGCTGTCACCAATGGAAACTCCTCTTTTGGAAATATTGGATCTAGTTCAGCTAATGATGGAAATGGAAATGGAAATGTGCAAGCAACACATGGGAATAATGCTGGATGCAATATACAAGGTTTAAATGATCTCTTATTTTCTTTGTTTGGGTTTATCGAGTGATATGTTTGAATATCAGAGGCAAAGGCTCCATCAGTAGCAGTTAGTTGACATATTTGCCTTTTGAAATTGTATTCTTGTGTTGTGCACATATTCATCTTTAGTGATTACCTATTGCTATATAATTTTTTGTTTCTTATAGTTATAATCGATGAAATGATGAACCTTAGTTCAGTCTTGATCCCAATGATACGTTTTTTACAAGTTGCAATTTGACCATTGTGGCTATATTTGAATCACCCTTCCTATGTGGCAAGCTTTGTAGGCACCACGTCATCTCCATCACATGCCCATCTTCCTCCTCGTGGCAAGCCCTCAAGGGTGCCACTAGGGGCGTTCAAAAACCCGCCCGGCCTGACAAACCCGACCCAACCACTAACAGTTGATTTTGAACTTAAACTGGGTTAGTTGCAGATAGAGAATGTCAATTTTCACGGATTGGTTAGACTGCGGGTTTAATGCACGCAAACCCGTGTCACCTGAACCGACCGATCTAATCTATTTAGTACTCATCTGCATGTGTCTCATTTTTATTAGTGGTCCCATATGCACACTTATCTCTCTATTCATAGGGTTTTGGACAACTTTGACAGCCTTTCCCATTAACGAAGAGTCTCTCTCTCTCTCTCTCTCTCTTTATTAAAGTGCTCACTCTCTCTCTCCTCTTTTCATCTACCCATATTTCTCTCTATCAGTTAAAGCGACTGATCTCTCTCCTATTTTCATCTACCCACCACAAAAGTCTCACTTTTCTACAACATTATTATTGTTTGTTTCACATCTTCCACCATCTCTCTCCCTAGGAAACCCCTTTCCTCTTCATCCCTTTCCTAACTCTTCGATCTCTATCCCCCAGAAACTTTAACGGTTGCAGCACAAATCGATGATGTTAATCGTTCGTAGTAGACAAGGGCATAGGCTATGGTGTTGATCCTTCTTCGTAGATAATGGTGTTGGTGTTGACCCATGGTGTCGGTGGTGTTTATCAATGGTGATAGCATTGAACACCAATGATTCTTCTCTCTCTCTCTCTCTCTCTCTCTCTCTCTCTCATTCCTCACACATTTTTTCTCTCAGATTTGTCTGGTACTTCTCTTTGAGTTGTAAATATGTTTGAATGTGGGAATTGGTTTGAACCAAAATCATAGTTTGAGTTGTGTATGACACTGACTGAACCGACCGCAAAACTGAATGGTTTCACGTGGTCGATTTCGAATAGCAAGTCGGTTAAGAATGGGTGACTATTTTTCCAACCCGATGTATTCGGTTTGCTGGCCGATTCAAGGGTAAACCCGACTCAAACCGACTCGTGAACACCCCTAGGTGCCATGACGTCTTATGAGCAGGTTGGAACACTTGTAATTTGAAATTTCAAGGTCTTGCCATGACATTTCAAATTTCAAATTACGTTGTAGGGATATATTTTCTGAGTACCAACACGTGGCAAGGTGACGCCGACGCGTCAGCCGAGGTGCCGCGTGTCTTGGTCGTTGTGCCGAGGTCATCTCGGCTAGGCCGAGGTTGCCTCCGAAGAAATCGGAATCCGAGATAAGCGGATAAGGGACAAGAGTCCTAGAATGAAGAGGGAACTCAACTTGGATATGGACAAGAGTCCTAGATTTGGAGAAGACTTTAGTTTGGGTAAAGATAAGACTCTTAGAGAGTTTATCCTAATCCTACTGGGAATCCCAGATTAGCAGTAATCCTAAGTCCATTAGGGCCAGGCTCCTATTGGGACTAGGATTGTATTGGCTATAAAAGAGAGGCACCCCCATGGGTCTAAGGTATGCTTTTGATACTCAAGCTTGTGAGTTTAGTACTTGATTTATCTTTGAGAGATATACTGACTTGATCGTCGGAGTGCCCCCGGGTGGTCGAAACCACCGCGGGATTCTTATATTTCTGTTACAGGTAAGACAGGGGCCATCTATTCTGCCAGTGCTCTCCAGCTGGTTACTAAGCGGGCAGTGTGGTCGAAAAATCACCCACACAATTTGGCGCCGTCTGTGGGAAAGAAAGAAGAATAGATGGCCAATGACGAACAGAATGACTAGATTAGAGACTACGCTCCTGCTGGGAGTGGAAGACCTATTGATCTCGACGTTGAAGGGGACAATAGCAACACAGACACTCGTGACCAGAGTCACGGAGTGAAAGAAGACCGGCCAGGAAGGTGACTCACCAAAGACAACAGATCGAAGCAACGAAGACGACCTCCAGGTATGAAAGGATAGATACCTGCGGAGGAACGAAGACCCTTCTAGAAGGGATGCAAAGACAGGGGGCATGAGCGCTCCCAAGAAGATAACATTCAAGTATAGAAGAGCTCAACCTGAGTGAGCAAATCCCGGATCCCAGATCCCAGAAGACATGATCTCGGCCTAGATAAGTAGGTCCGAGAAAAGAAGAGCTCAACCTGAGTGAACAGATCCAAGATTCCAGAAGATAAGATCTCAGGACCTGAGTCCGAGAAGAGAAGAGCACAATGAGCAAATCTCAGATCCCAGAAGATAAAAAGGAAACACACAAGATCAGACTAAAGTTGGCCAGAATTGAGAAGTATGCTAGGGCCGAGGAAGACATGCCAGGAACAAAGGCATCGGAACAAGAAAAGAGAAACAGCGCGAGGCCAAAAATCAAACTCAGGTTGGAGCCAAGTAAGATCAATAGAGAAACCAAGGCCGACAACCTCGGATTGAATTCAACCTCGGCAACAAGGTTGAAGCTACATGATGAGAACCCAAGTGGATTTTAAGTTCACACTGGGGTGGCGCAAGATTTCCCAACGCCCGCATCATAAGTACGAAATGACGATGAATTGTCTCATTTGAGTGCTGAAATTGATCTCCAGTATTTCTTGTGCCTGAACTTTGACCACAGATAAATAAAAACATAGCCAACGACTCTTCCAGTGACAATCGCATGTTCGACCAGTCTACAACATTTCTACGGACAATCTGTTTAACCAATTGCACAAATGTCGGGACTTCTATTCGCAATTGTTCACGGATTGATGTAGGATTTCCACTTAGTAAGAATTTTATGTACTGGTCACCGGTGTATGGACAAGTACTTTGCGGTTGTCTCGTAGGAATGTCACGTGTTAGTTGACAAACCATGTGTGAGTCCATCACATCATCGTCATCGTCACTATACGGGTCATACATATTGTTCAGTTGCCCTCCATTGGGTCGTGATGACAACATCTAAAGCGGAAAGTGTAAAACAATCAAGGTATTATTAGTAATGCTATGAGTATAGCAATAAAAATTTAATGAGGACATTGCAACAAAGAAAGCATGGCAAAAATAAATTATGACAACATAGTGCTAAGTCTAAAGCGAAACCACATAGACAGCATGATATATCAAGTTAGCTCAACACCCAACATAGTCCAAACCGAAAGGGAAAACAAAAAAATTAAAACAAGAAAAATTTAGAACTTCAAGTTTAACAAATACCAAAAATAAATAAATAAACCTAAACAATTGAGGTAATAGAACCTAGGGGGCAGTTGTGGGGATATATTTTCTGAGTACCAACACGTAGCAAGGTGACGCCGACGTGTCAGCCGAGGTGCCACGTGTCTTGGTCGTTGTGCCGAGGTCATCTCGGCTAGGCCGAGGTTGCCTCCGAAGATATCGAAATCCGAGATAAGCAGATAAGGACAAGAGTCCTAGAATGAAGAGGGAACTCAACTTGGATATGGACAAGAGTCCTAGATTGGGAGAAGACTTCAGTTTGGGTAAAGATAAGACTCTTAGAGAGTTTATCCTAATCCCACTGGGAGTCCCAGATTAGCAGTAATCCTAAGTCCATTAGGACCAGGCTCCTTTTGGGACTAGGATTGTATTGGCTATAAAAGAGAGGCACCCCCATGGGTCTAAGGTATGCTTTTGATACTCAAGCTTGTGAGTTTAGTACTTGATTATCTTTGAGAGATATACTTACTTGTTCGTCGGAGTGTCCCCGGGTGGTCGAAACCACCGCGGGATTCTTATATTTCTGTTGCAGGTCCGTCAGGTGCCATCTATTCTGCTAGTGCTCTCCAGTTGGTTACTAAGCGGGTAGTGTGGTCGGAAAATCACCCACACATCATGAAACTTATTTTGGTGCCAATTTCTTATTCAACCGACCAATTATATGATGTTAATCACCACACCGCATAGTATATGTTGCCGCTCAAGCCCATCTACTATGGGGCTTGGCTCCCACATTTATTTTGGCACAAACATTGCCAACTCAACTTATTCCAAGAATAAGTTCGTTCGAAATCGATTCATTAGGTAAATAAGTAAAATTTGAACACAATTTTATATTCAAGTTTTTAAATCAAGCTTGAACAATGTACTACTCAAATCAATAAGCTTATGTCCTAAAAAAAATATAAAATACTCAAACTCGACTCGTGTTTGACTAGTTAAAATATTCATTTGAGATCGGTTCATTATGTAAACAAGTCAAACTTAAACATAATTTTAAACTTGTTAAGTTATCAAATCAAGTTTGAACAAACCTATTAGTTGGCTCGACTCGATTCATTTTCGACCCTAGATATGCAGGAACATATGTTTGTAACTTATTTATTTGATTTTATGTATTTTTTTATATTAAAACTTTTATATAGGATATCTTCTATTTGCTTGGTTGTTTTAAATAAAAATTACATTTTTAATTACTCTGATATTATTCAAAGCTTGAGTAGAAACAAGTCTGCCTTCTGGTGCTTATCACATCTAACTCAGCATGCATACCATTTGAGACTTTGAGGGCAATCAACTTAGGTGGGCAGTCAAAAACGACTATATATATAAAATTAAACATAATTCAATCTTCAAATTTCTTTCCATTTTTAAAAATGTGCCATTCATTCGCCTCATGAAATTGACCAACAATGCCCTTCTAGTAGTTTTTGAATTATTTAGTTAGAAATTATATGTATTTGATTGTTAGTACGAT